AGCAGCCTCATGCTGTGGGGCTGTTTTTCAGAATAGAAGAAAAGCTCAATGCACCAAAATATTGAGATAGCCTTAATAAAAACCTAGTTCAGAGCATTCAGAACCTCAGACTGGGCAGAAGGTTTACCTTCCAACAGAACATTGACCCTATGCACACAGCAAGAGTGGCTTATAGACAACTCTGTGAATGTCCTAACCCAATCAAATAATTCTGGAGAAACTTGAAAATGTGAATTTGCCCCCATCCAACCTGACAGAGCTTGAGAGGTGAACAGGTGAGGAGAAGAATGGCAGATAATTGCCAAATGATGATGATCAAAGCTTGTCGCATTAAACAAAAAAAGACTTGAGACTGTAAAGGTGCTTCAGCGAAATATTTAGTTAAGGGTATGAATACTTATGTAATGTACGTACTTCAGTTTTTTTATTTTTAATAAATTTACGAAGTTGTGACAATTCTGTTTTTGCTTTGTCAGTATGGTGTATGGAGTGTAGATTGATGTGGAAAAAAAGTAATTTAAAGCAGTTTAACATAAGGCAGCAACATAACAAAATGTGAAAAAAATAATGGGGTATGAATACTTTCGCAAGGCATTGTACCTGTTTGTTCCAACAATGAGGAAAAATTCTGAAGAAAAAAGGGGGAATAGGATACGGATACAAGTGTAGGGCAGATGATCAGATAGTTTCAGATGTAGAACCATGCTTGAAAGTGACATTAGTTGCATGTAAAAAAACTTTTTTTTTTATATGTGTGCAACAAAATTCGTGTTTCAGTGAATATTGCATGACAGTGTACATTCGGCCTTGGTTTTTGTTGGTTTCAATATTTGATATAAATGCATTTAATAACAAAAAGTAGTGTATATACAATTTTTTTTTTTTTAAAGAATGTAGTTCGGAAAATACTGATATTGGCTTTATGGCTGCCACCCAGAGAACATGCCAAATTCCCAATAACTTTTTTTTTTTCCTGTGCCAAAGACAGGTGGCTTTGCTCTAGGAAATGAAACTGGCTCTGTGTTCCTTGTCACTCATTTGTTTTCTCTCAGAGATTATCCGTTTATTTCGATTCCACCCTGTCCTCATATTACATCCATGCGTTCTGTCTCAAGTGCTGCATGTGTGTCTTTGTTTGTATAGTCACTGGGATGTGGCTGTCTATAGTTTCTCCACTTATCTCTACTGTTGTTTTAAACTTGTTGGACTTCTCTGTATGTAATCTTGAATTTTCTTGGACTATTTAAACATTTTATACATTTATACTTGTTGTAACATAATACTAGATTAGTGGTAGTCTACAGTGGCCGAGAGAGCTCAACACGCTGCAACTTAAAGGTGACATATTATGCCCCTTTTTACAATATGTAATATAACTCTCTGGTGTCCCCAGAATGTGTCTGTGAAGTTTCAGCTCAAAATACTCCACAGATCATTTATTATATCATTTTGAAAATGCCTATTTTGAGTGGAAGCAGAAACACGCTGTTTTTCAGGCCTGTGTCTTTAAATGCAAATGAGCTGCTGCTCCCCGCCCCCTTTTCCAGAATAGAGCTGCGCCATTACAGCTCGGACCTGCTAAAAACATCTGTTTTGGTTCTGATTATCATGTTCATCGTGCTGAAATCATGCGTTTTAAACTTATGATATAATGTTTTCTGAGCGCACACGGGCAGAAAGCGGCGGTCACAGCATGTGAGTACTAAACTACAGAAATGCACTGCAAATACTCACAACACAACCAAATACAGAAAGGTGCTGCAAATACAGAAATGTGCTGCAAATGCGCACAACATGACCAAATACAGAAAAGCGTTGCAAATAGCACAGACCACAATGGAAATGTTCCAGGGGGACCCCAACAACCCTTACGAAAATTAACCATGTGGTTACAATTTATGTAACCACATAAATACCATGGTTAAACTATAGTGTAATTTGTGATTACCATGGTGTAACTATAGTAACCATGTGTTTATAGTATAGTAACCATAGTTAATTTTCGTAAGGGAAGTTGTAAAAGTTAGCCAGCTTACTTTGTTTCACAGTTACAATAATTGTTTATTTCGTCAGCTTATTTAGGCTAATAATATAGCAAAAAAGCTAAGGAATTATATGATCAGGATGTTAAAATAAAGTAAAATCTCACCTTTCAGAGCAGACATTGAAAAGCTTGTGGTTCCCTTAAATATTTCCGATGTGGTCTGTGCATATTTGCAGTGCGTTTGGTTGTGTTGTGAGTTTTTGCAACGCGTTTCTGTATTTGCAGTGCATTTCTGTATTTGGTTGTGTTGTGAGTTTTTGCAGCGCGTTTCTGTATTTGGTTGTGTTGGGAGTATTTGCAGCGCGTTTCTGTATTTGGTTGTGTTGTGAGTTTTTGCAGCGCATTTCTGTATTTGGTTGTGTTGGGAGTATTTGCAGCGCGTTTCTGTATTTACAGCACGTTTCTGTATTTGGTTGTGTTGTGCGTTTTGCAGCACGTTTCTATATTTGCAGCACGTTTCTGTATTTGCAGCGCGTTTCTGTATTTGGTGGTGTTGTGCGTTTTTGCAGCACGTTTCTGTATTTGCAGCGCATTTCTGTATTTTGTTGTGTTGTGAGTATTTGCAGTGCATGTTTTGTCAAACTAATGAAGATGTTTTCTTAATTTGCTGGTCATTTGCATGTGTTTTTTTCATTTGCAGCATGTAGAGCTCTCTCGGCCACCGTAGTACTCAACCAAATTGACACAATTTTTGTTTGCATATTAAAAATGTTTTCTTCCTCAATTATATCTATGCACATGTTGAAATAGGGAAGGCATGATCTTTACTGTTTTTTTTTTATGACTGAATGAACAACTTCCATAAAATTTATGAGCCATTGGGATTGATGTCATTCAGTCAACAACAGTGATAAAATAGTGACTATAGGTCATTGAAAAAAATAAAAATATTCATTCATTTATTTATTTATTTATTTATTTACTGTGTAGTTCTGGTTTCCATGTTAACAGTGACTTATTTGATTGGTCGATTTTGCTTCAGAATTATGGGTAGTGTAGTTCTTCACCAGAAATTAGTCTATTATTTTATTATTATTTTTTTTAAATAATGAAGTAGAAAACACACTGATTATAGCTTCTATAGAAACATCTGCTTCTATAGAAAAACGCAAAAGCTCTATATAAACTAGTAATGGTTTTACTACTCTTCATAATTCATCAGGCCTTTGGGAAACATCACAAAGTCCCTAACGTGGATGAACCTACCTTGCCTCACATTGTAGTGAATGAAATACTGAAAGTTTGCTGCATAAACTGTGGTACAATTTTGCCCCGAGCCTAATGAATTTAAGGCATGTCTACAGGGACAGTAATATAACCTCATTCCCATTGATAACTTCATGCTTTCTTGTGGTAATGAAACCTCGGAAAGCCAGATGTCCTCATAATTGAACAGAGCCCTTAAATCTAGTCAAGCTTTGTGTGTCTTTGCTCTCAGAGGAGCATTGGAAAGCAGCGTCAGGTTAATGAAATAATCCTTGATCCCTGTGGGACTAATAAATGAAAAGGGGATGGACGATGAGTAGAGACTGATTATGTATTGATTATTGATTATATATTATGTGATATGTTTCCTGAATAAATTCTTAAAGTGTTACTGTGAAAGAGTCATTTTGTACATCACATATAATCCATCTCAAGACAATCCCATTATTTATGTCATACATGATTCAAAAGTTTGAGTCAGTAAGGTTTGTTTGAAAGAAGTCTTTTGTGTTCACAAAGGCTGCATTTATCTGATGAAAAAATACAGTACAAACCGTAATATCGTGAAATATTATTACTATTCAAAATAACCATTTTCTATTTGAATACATATTAAAATGTAATTTATTCCTGTGATGCAAAGCTGTATTTTAGCATCATTACTCCAGTCTTTATTCTCGCATGATCCTTCAGAAATCATTTTAATATGCTGATTTGATGCACAAGAAACATTTATTATTATCAGTGTTGAAAACCGTTGTGCTGCTTAATATTTTTATGAAAACCGTGATGCATTTCTTTTTTGTTTTTCAGGATTCTCTGATTGAACAAAGTTCAATAAAAAAAGTATTTATTTGAAATGGAAGTCTTTGGCAACATTATAAATGTCTATGCTGTCTTTAAAAAAAAAAAATCAGTTTAATGCATTCTTTTCTTGCTGACCACAAACTTTTGAACAGTAGTGTATATAATAATTATTATTACCAAGTTCTTTAGATGTAGATTTGTACATCTTCCTGCCTTATTTATGAAATATGAGCAGAACGATTTTTCTTTTGTGTAAATCTTTCCTAAAACGATTGGTACATAAATTGTAGCCTTGAATTGAATGTAAAAGAATGTTTTTTTTTTTTTTTTTTTTTTTTAAAATTAAAAAAAAAAAAAAAACTCTAGCTTTCTATTCTACTTGTTTTTCTTTGTTTGTGTATATATATATATATATATATATATATACACAATTGAAAAAAATGTTTTTTTTTTTTTTTTTTTTTTTTACAAATTATTTACATTGAAATAGTGTTTTATGAACAATGTGTTTTGATTCATTCTCATTAAATTATAACATATCTTGTGCTACCTAAACAAGCTTTTTCTTAACCATTTAGCACTATGCTAAACTAGTAGGCTAAACTGTTAGTAAAACTGCTTAGTAACTGAATGCTAACTTAAAACACAAAGAAAGATAACTGTTTTTAACTTCTGTCGTAATGTGATATTCAAGCGTGAAAAATGCAAGTCTTATCACTTTTTATGTAGCTATTTCCTAAACAAGCCACGATTTGAAGTGTCATTCATGTCCATATAATGTTAAATGATTTGAATAAACCCCTACATCAAATAAAAGCATTATTATTAGTGCTTCAATGTATTTGAGTGCACATTAACTCGAGATTGGTTAAACATTATGTAATGTAGCAGTGTTGCCTTACAGAATAGTTAGCAAAATGTTGTCTACATTTCCTTTGAACAAAATCAGTCCATTAAGGTAAAGTTTGCCCTCTTTCTGATCCTGTTTGACTAGCTTAAATAATTATGACGATATAACCATATTGCCGATGGGATTACGACTGTTTTGTTTGTTTGATAAAAGGGCAGAGTTATTGTATCATTCAGATGTGTCACAAGTTCAGCTCTTCTGTCTGAACCTCTGTAGGACCCTGCGGGTGAGTTTGAGACATCACGTCTCTCCGGACCTGCATTTTTTTGCATGCATACATGGCGTCAGCAAGCTCTATCTGTCTCTATAGCAACCTATCAATTAATAATTACTCAGCCCATCGTTGCTTGCCGTGTTCTGGAAAATGAACAAGTGCAAAAAAAAAGAAATATCAGATAAGCAAACAAGCTGCTCTCTGGGGGTCTAGAACCATCTCATCCTCACCGCTCTGTGGAGACAATTGAAAGGCTAAATGAATAATGAATGGATTTCCAAATGGTCCTCTTTAGGTGCCGCGCTCGTGTGTGCTTTAGTCTTCTCTATTTATAACAAGCAGAGCGGCAGATAAAAGCCATGTTTGTCTCATTCAGTTGTACAAAAGCCTTGCATCCTGTTAGCAGATGGTGTGAATTCGTTCTACCAGCGATTCTACCAGTGCAAATATTAATTTAAGTTTTACACTGTATGTGATTTTGCAGGTCAGACTTAAGCATTTGTGTAGTGATTTGAACTAATTTGACTTGTTACACAAACAAACTGCGTTAAATATCAATTAACGTCATTTTGAATATTTGCAGTAAGCGTTTCTCTAAGCTTCTCAAACACAGTGTTGTCAAACTTGCATAAAAAATGTTTTGTGCATTTGTAGAGTGTGATATTTCTTTTCTAAGTGACGAGACTTTTACCTGCTGTAGGATAAAGTATCGGCGTTTGGTATCGGGGCATTTTAACGAGTATGAGTACAGGAGCTCAGTATCGGGCCCGATACTGGTATCGGTGCATCCCTAATAAAATGCATAGAAAAAGTGTGTTTCTTACTTGAATCTCATATTAAAATCCCCACTGGTGCCATAAGGACTACTAAGCAAATCTTAAAATCGAGGAGGCAACTTTTGTAATAAATAAATACATATTCAGATCTAGTTTATTATGCTTTTTACTGCATGTTTGAGTCAACTGTATAATGCTTTTCTTAATCTTTGTCTGAATAATCCTACACTGCACCTGGGATCTTATAAAAGACCGAGACGAAGAAGATCAAGCTAATTAGACCTGTTTCAGCTGCTTTTGTTCTTGATCATTTGGTAGTGTTGTGAAGTGGTCCACGGTCTGTAAAAATATGGAGATCATATCTCAATAAACTGAAGCAGTGGTGCAAGGTTATGAAAGGTCATCTATCAACGCATTGCTCAGTTTTTTTGTCTACACTACCATTCAAAAGAATTTTGGAAAGACGTCTTTTAAGCTCACCAAGGATCCATTTATTTGATAAAAAATACAGTAAAAACAGTAATATTGTAACATTATTACATTTTAAAGTAGCTGATTCTATTTTCTTATAAAGCCTATTAAAATGTAATTTATTCCTTTGGTCAAAGCTGAATTTTCAGCATCATTACTCCGGTCTTCAGTGTCACATGATCTTTCAGAAATCATTCTAATCATTCTGATTTGCTGCTCAAGAAACATTTCTTATCATTGTTGAAAACATTTGTGCTGCTTAATATTTTTGTGAAAACTGATACACTTTTTTTCAGCATTCTTTGACAAACAGACAAAAAGAACAGCATTGAAAAGGAAATATTTTGTAACATTATAGATGTCTCTACAGTCACTATTGATTAATTTTTATTAATTTCTATCACCAAAAAATCTGACCCCAAACTTTTGAATGGTAGTGTATCCCTTTTATTCATTTTATTTAAGGCTGAAAAGGTTCCAACAAAATAGTTCCTTAAAGAAACTATTAACAAAACAACAACAACAAAAAAACTAAATGTTCTCTATTGAAGCATCTTTCTGTTGTGTGTGTGACCTTCAGTGAGATCAGCCGGCTGGACCTGGGCCTGATTGTAGAGGTGTGGAACAAAGGTCTCATCTGGGACACCATGTTAGGAACAGCCTGGATTCCACTCAAAAGCATCTGCCATTCAGAGGAGGTCAGGAAGTCCTGCACATCTCTCAAAATCATTCCCTGATAAAATTAATTCTGACATTTTTAGCGGTTTAATTTCTGCGAACTAGGTCATCAAGCATCAAGATGTCCTAAAGATTCCTCTCTTTGATATGTTTATGCTGTAATGAATAACCTTTCCTCTGAACAGGAGGGCCCTGGCGAATGGATATTTCTGGACTCTGAAGTTCTGATGAAGGCAGATGAGATTTATGGAACTAAAAACCCAACGCCACATCGAGTCCTACTGGACTCTCGCTTTGAACTGCCCTTCGGTGAGATTGACTCTTTAAAATTGATTTGTATTATTTAAAAAAGTACATAATTTCATCTTGTTTGTCATAATTTACACAGCTGTTCAAAAGTTTGGGGTCATAAAAGCTTTGTTCAGACTGTCAGTCCAAATCCGAATATTTATGTATCCGGTTGGAATCTGATATCATGGTGCATCGCAAATGTTCAGATCCGATTTTTGTGCCCCATAGCACTCTTTCGTTTTTACTGAATATCTGCACTGGTTTCTATGGCAACGACGTTGCATTGGTATGCTTATGCTAAAAACAAAAATAACAGCAATACAGTTTGCTATGCGGAGGTTGTCTTACAACATGACAACATGTTGCCGTCGCACTGGATTCAGACGTCTTATGAGGCAGTTGCAGAAGCTTAAGAAGGTGGAATTCATGGATTTATACTGTGCTCTGAAAAGTGACAAAAAATTTGATCTGAGCGGTCAGACTGAAATGGATTTCCAGAAATGCAATTTTAATAAAATTTCAAACCAGATATGAATGTAGCTTGAAATGGATTTGTAAAAATTCAGATTTCATGTGATTTGGATTCATGTGATTGGATTCCAATCAGATATGCACAAAAATCAAGGACGCATAAAGATTATCAAAATTGACAGTAAAGATATTTATAATGTTACAGTAGATTTTTGTTTCAAATGAATTATGCTCTTTTTAACTTTCTATTCACCAAAGAATCCTGAAAAAACATTATCATGGTTTCCACCAAAATATTAAACAGCACAACATTGATGATAATAAAAATGATAATTTGAGCAGCAAATCAGCATATCAGAATGATTTCTGAAGGATCATGTGACACTGAAGACTGGAGTAATGATGCTGAAAATTCAGCTTTGCATCACAGGAATAAATTACCTTTTATATCAAAATAGAAAACAGTCATTTTAAATTGTAATAATATTTCATAATATGACTGTTTTTACTGTATTTTCGATCAAATAAATGCAGCCTTGGTGAGCTGAAGAGTCTTCTTTAAAAAAAATTTTTTTTTGAACGGTAGTGTACATGCTTTCATCTCATTCCAAACTATCTTTCTTTAGAGGAACACAAAATGAGAAATTGTGACAGCTCCTAATTTGCATCTGTCTGCATTAATTTAATGTAAAAGAGCAGCGTAGACATTTTTCAGAACTTGTTCTTTTGTCTTCCACATTTCTGATCTGTTGTATGGATATGCAGCTGCTTGAGATCAATCCCATCTGCCTCCAGTGCTTTTGGTTTCCATTGATTTGTTGAATGTCATCAAGGTTGAGTGAATCTCCTTCAAGCATCTGCTTGCTTTTTAATAAAACAGTTTTCAGACTGTCTCTCCAAAACCGCTTTATCTAGCATGCACTGTTATAATGATAAAAAGTGGGTAATTTTTTGTAGCATTTCAAATTAAATAAGTAAAAACAAACTAACTTTTTAGAAATTAATGGCACGGTTTTCTGAGAAAGGGCCTTTTCTCTGTAACCTAGAGTTACTAGGATCTATGTTGCAGAGACATAAAAGGAGATTTGAGCTGGTTGAATTATCACTTTGATTTGCTCCTCTTAACAAAAATAATAATAAAATTTTGCCAGCTGTGTATCCATTGTGAGTGGAGCTATGGGCTGTAAATAAAGTGTGCGGCGGTGCACACGCTGCAGATTGTTGGGATGTGAAAGGTCGAACCTTCGTAAGTGGCACATTTGGCCTGGATACCTGCCATTGATCCCATTCATAAACCAGACTGTTTTATCCCAGCACTTTGAAGCTACTCTCCTCATGTGCAGTGTCCCATGTGCCTTCAAAGGATGCTGCACACAGTATCTGAGGCTTTGTTAACATTGCACCCAATTCCAATTTGTTTTCAAATTTGGTCTTCAGCACTGACAGTCTGCCATTTTGCAATGAAATCGGATCCGATTGTTCAGACAAAGTCAGTGATCAATATATCTATATCACATTGTAAAACAATTTACTAGCAATTCCTGAGTGAAAACTGTTTCAAAGAAACGGCAAGCAACAATGAAATAAACATGGAATTTTAAAGTAGAAAGAAAATTTTTAGGTAACTTTGTTAATTTACAACTTCAAAAAATATGTACTTTTTTAATAGTATAGCTGTCATGGCAATGACTATAAAACATGAAAGAGTCTTAATTGTCCAGATTTAATCTGGTTTCAAACTTCATATGAATGTGCCTTAGATCAGGTTTGCAAACATATTTCTTTGCTGTTCAGACTGCAACTAATGAAACCGATTTCTTAATCTGATTTCAAACTACCTATGAATGTGCTTTACTGTAGATTTGGTTTGAAAACAAATCAAGTTTCTTTGCTTTGCCGACTAAACAATGAAAATGATTTCAGTTGTGTAAGTAAAAGTGGTTTTCCCCTACCTGTATGGCTTTTTGTTGAACTATGTTTGTGAATAGTGTATTTTTATCAATGCACAGGTAATGCAATCATGGTTTGTTTGCTAAGTAACAAGTATTTTCGGTTTGAACGAATAGAGCTTAGAGCTTCAGTTCAAATAGAGCTTCAGTCTGACAGCACAACATCCCTTTGTTCCTATACTTGCTTTTAAAGTGAAGTGTCATGTAATGCTCTGTTTTTTAACTGACAGACTATTTTTGAGGTCCCTCGGCCAAGTAGCTCATTATACATTTAAAAGGTCTGAATACATAACGTCTTGGCACATGTAAATAGTCTGCATGAGGTTTTATGTCTTGGACTGCAACACTCATGACTGTCTACCACTTGTGCAGAAATCCCAGAGGATGAGGCTCGATACTGGACCGGCAAATTGGAACGCATCAATACTATGGGCATTCATGATGAGGTAAGACCTGTGCATGTGCAGCTAAACAACTGCATGCCTTCAATATTTCAGTACATGGGGACTTACCATACCAAACAAGAGTCCACACTGACTGTCATTGCGTATAATTATATGAGAAGAGGTTGCATGACAATTTTCTGAATGCATTTACATTGCGTTTGGCTACAGTTGCCGTTGTAATTTGCATCTAAAAAGGAAGTGTGGGCAGTGTTTACCAGAATCACAATATTGCTTTATTTAGCATTGCTCAGCATTATATACTTTACTGTGGAGTAATATGATCATACCTATAAACACTAGAATAATTTTGAGAGAATAATTTTTTTTAATGTCTATTATGTTTCTTTTGTCTAAAAAGTTGATGCCTACGATTTTAAACTAATATCTGTTTTATACAAGATCATAGCTGTGAGAGTTTGTGTAATTGTAACACTAATTATCTTTCTGCTTTTTGTAAAAAAAAAAAAAAAATTATATATAAATAAAAAGAAAAAATATTGATAGTTAATATTATAATATTTTATTTAAATAATATATTTAAGATATTTTAGTAAAAAATATTTATTTCAGGTCACTTAGTGAAAAATTTAAGGGGGTCTGAATACTTTCCATACCCACTGTATATACTACATTGATTTTCTGCTTTAAACGCATATCATTCCTGACATCTAAAAGAATTAGTACCATATACTGTAGGTGTCAATTATTCAGTAATATTAATTTTAAGTTTGTAATATAATAGTATTATTTGAATCTAATTTGAAATGGGTTAATATCATTTACATCTCAACCACCATTATAATCATCCCCTTTGTAAGACACAATAAATTCATAATTATCCAGTTTTTCCTCATCAAGGCTATTCGGTTACTTTCGACACTTATAAATTCTTATATTAAATATGTATATGGTAGGTAGATTTGTTGTAGACTGAGTTATAAATGTAGGTCAATCATATTTTTAATGTTTTTTTTTTTTCCTGTTTCCCTCTTGGTTATTTAATAATTATTATCACAGCTTTGGTATGCGATCAGCATGTGTGTGTTCTGAGCAGTTATATTTGCTGTGCATTGTTGTGACTGTTTAATGAAATACACATATTGGTAGTTGTCTAGGACCTAGTATTATAATCATCATACAGATTTTTGGTATTTAAAGAGTGTATAAGTAATGTGTCTAAACTTTGGCTAGAACTTCACTAATTCACTTTAAATGGTCCTGTGATGTGACAAATGGGACAAATTTTACGAGTACAATT